CTTGATCACCTATCACTAACCCAATTATGCGGATATAACAATGGATCATTTAGAACTAATTTTATACCGAACTATAACAAAAACAAATGTCGTGAACTTATCTGCTATAAGTTTTGATAAATTGATAGCACTCTATAGCTTTTCAAATTTTTTCGCTACAGCAGGCGAACCATAATCATCGCCAAAGCTCTGTAATCAAAGGCATTCAACTAATAATATAGAACGAATAGGACTAATTTCGCATTCTTTACTTAAATTTTTCGACATTTAAAAAAAATTCTATATTGATGGCGAACAAGATGCGGATCAATTCCGCCAGAAATGTTTTCTCATCACGAGCACACTATATATGCAAAAGAGATAAAACAAATGGAAGGAACACTTTCTTTAGCATTTCATTCTTCTTTGTCAAGAAAAAGCTAAAAGTTGTCTAACTGTTATCAAAAAGCAAAAAAAAAAAAATAATAATAATATATAAAGAAATCTCTCTGCTCGGGTCCTCTTCATCTAGCTAGTAGCTAACTACTTCTCGTATGGGCGTTTTTTTTCAAGTCTATTTCTTAGTGTCGATTGTCGAGCGGAATAGCGAAATGAATGAACCGTTGCAATCCATCGGTGGTGGGTGCAAGCAAATGAAAATAAATCCATAAATACACTTTCATTAAAAAACATATATAAACCTTTCGTATACAATAACAAAATAATTGATGTGTGTATTCAAAAATGAAAAATGAAAAAAAAACAAAAACAAATAAAAAAAAATTATACATAAAATACTGTTGATATTAAATAAGCCCCGTGACGATAAAAAGGAAGAAATAATAATTCAATGCAAACTGATCATTTATTTAATTAAATGACTCTTTCATCCAACCTTAACATAATAACATAATTATTATTAATCAACGATGATTAATCAAACGCATAGACAAACTTAAATCAAAAATTATAATTATATCTAATATAAATTATAAATTAATGGAAGATAAGAACAAAAGCATATAATATATAATCATTGTTGGATTTCGAAGCAAGATTTATATATAAATTTGCAGAATAGTAAATATTATGTGTAAGTGTTAAGAATATAATACGATTCCACTTTGATTCGACTAAGATGTAACTTTTCACACAATATGTATGTATGTACTGCACTACAACGATCATTGAACACGGGGAACGTTTTAAATTTAAAAAAAGTGTGTGTAATTTTACATTCACCTACAACAAAGGATACGACAAACGATGTTACACAAATTATATAAAATAAAAACAAAATCATATTATTTAAAAAATTGAAAATCTTAAATAAACTAAAAAAAAAAAAAAAAAATTATTAAATAAAAATGTTGTTTCATTGAAACGTTTCATTGAGATCATTTTGACAGATGTATATGATAATCACAGGGCTCGGAAATAGATATTCAATCACAACGATAGCCAAGCGGGAGCAGTAATTGTTAGATTATTATAAAATGGTTTAAGAGATCATTACTTGCTTTCAATCATCTAATGAAGAATTTAAAGTATTTAATAAATCATTTAATAAAAGCTTTCTCTGGTACTCTTTCAATTACATTAGATATAAAGCTACGATTAGCTCCACAAATTGCTGGACATTGTCCAAAAAAAAAAAAAAAAAAAACAATCCAAATCGATTAATTATGAAGTTTGTTTGATTTAATCGACCACGTGGCTTCATCAACTTTTATTCGTAGTACTAGGAACTGTTCAAGAATGAATAACATCCGCAGCTGTGATTAAAATTCGAATTTCAGAATTCATAGGGATAATCAATTCGATTATCAACATCTACTAACCGGAATCTATCTAATATTTAATTCATTTGATGGAACTACATATATATATATATATATATATAAGGGTCAAATTCAATACCTACCAAATTTGAATATTCATAACTTTAGTGTATCATTGATGTCTAATAGTTTTTAGTAGGTAATAGAAGGCTCATTAATTTCATCAAGTAGATATGATAATCGTAGAGATGGAAAAGCAATAATAATAATAAAATGTTTGTAGGTAAAATAGTTCAAATAATTTCAATTGTTTGACCATGTAAAAGATAATGGTTAATAAATTTATTAAAAAAAATAATATATAAATATTAAATATCCTTAGTAATTATTACTAAGATTATTAATGCATGATCATGAAAGAAGATTAAGTGTTCTATAAGAGGGGAAGCACTAATTGTCTCGAAGTCCTAGTAATGTTCAAGTAGACATATCTAAAAAAAGTCAAATACTCTATATATATATATATATATATATATATAGATATATGAAGCTTAAATTCATTGCACTATTCTGCCATATTAGAATTAGTTAATTGGTTAAAAAATGGTAAACCAAGTTCAGTAGGTGGAGTATATTGTGGTCATTCAATTAAGGAGTTGAGTTGCATGGTTGCATGGATTACTTTTCGTTGACTAACTAATTTTTCTCAAATATTTAAAAAAGAAAAATAAAATATCTAATAGAGAGATTATGGAATCAATTGTTGAGATTACATTTCAAATTGCATATGCATCAGGATAATCGATGAATAGCGACGAGGTATACCTGCTAATCATAAAAAGTGTTAAGGGGAAAAAGGTTAAATTTACACCAATTACTACAAATTGGCTTTTTAATATTGATGAATTTCTAATTAAACTAGGATATCAGTGAATAAAATCTGCTATAACTGTAAATCCTATTGATAGAAAATAGTGAAAGTGTGCAACAACATAATAAGTATCATCTAAAATAATATCTACTGATGAATTGGCTAAAACTACTCCTGTTAAACCTACTACTTTAGAAGAAGAAGAAGAAATAAAATCCTCATAGCTCATAGAATGGCGGGGGAATAAAAAATTTGTGTACCACGTAAAGTAGGATAATCAACTAAAAATTGTAATTCCTCTTGCAACTGCAATAATTATTGTAGATGAAGTGAAGTGAAGTGAAGTGAACTCGGGTATCAACGTCTATACCAACTGTAAATATATGCTGAGCTCAAACAATAAAACCTAACAAACCAATTGTGCGAGTATTGCATAAATTACTGCTAATTAACCAAAAGTTTCCTTTTTTCCTGATTCTTGATTAATAATATATGGGTAATTATAGCAAAACCGGGTAGAATTAAAATATAAACTTTAGGATTGATGAAAGGGAAGAAACTTCTTCCGATACATCTCTTCACTGCCCTATGAGAAGTTCACCCCAACCACAATGACGTAAAGTAACATGCAATGGGCAAGTTGGTGCGCGCACACCTGCTATCGCCGAAGAAAGCGACTAAACAGCTCGCAACAGGCAACAACCAGATGAATAAAAATTTACAAAGTGCGTCCGCAGAGCGTGGAAGCAAATCAAAGCCCATTACCACTCTAAGGTTGAAAGCTTATTCGAGTATGATCAAGATCCAAGAAGTGAAACAATAATACGAAATTCAAGTCAAACTTCAATACACAACAGTTATTAGATAACTTGAAAATGTAAAGAAAACGCTGGTAATGGTAAGTTGCTCAGTACAAGAGAGTATGGACTGTTGAGTTGCAAATAAATCAAGTCAAGTCCGCCCTGTTGAACACGTACCATTCTTTACGAATATCGAAGAGATATAAGCGCTTTCAAATTTGAAGAGAATGGTGAGCGTATGGTCCGTTACCAACTACACATTTTGGAATTTTTGCTTGCAAAATTTAAGCGGTTTAATGAAAGGACACTTGATCTTCTGAAGCCATCCGCTACAAGTTTCATTTTTTTGGATACTGCAATAAGAATGGATGCAATGCTAAAAGAGACCACAGATCATAGGTTGAGACAGATGTTAATCAAAACGCTTAGCGAATACATTTACCGATCGAAGACGGCGTGACGACAGGTGAATGAAACTTCAGAGACCTTATAAAGTGTATACATTCTTGATTAGCATTAAATTGTGAATCTGTTTGCCTGTACGATGTCAACGATGAACACTCTCCTGGCGCCAAATATAAAGATCTCGGCTACAAATCTGGCAAATATATTCGGAGTTTTTACATGTAGATTGTTATTGAAAAACCGGGTAAAATCAGCTAAAGGACACATGCTTTTTCAAAAGCATAAAAATGGATAATTTGCTCACTACACATAAGCTGCAGCTATAAATATCATATTTGCATATATTAATTATATAAAGGTGATGAGTGTGAAAGATTCGGCCATAGCCGAATATCATTTGTTTATTTGTATTTTGAACTAGCGATTAACAAACAATACATGTGATATTATATTCAGGAGACTTGTGGATGCGAGCGCAATTTTTTCATTTCCATTCAATTTCAGTTTCAACGATTACACCCAGTTCCGCTTGCACGCGGTCTCATTTTACACGAATTTATTTGAACAAATAAAGAAATTGTAAGAGAAACTCAATAAACTTTTCCCATAATATGATTTGATTGAGCAGTGTTAAAAAGAGAATTGATTCGTATTTATCGAAATTTCATACTCTTGCTACTATTAAAATAGTCGATGTGTATACGATGTCTTTTTTTACACGATTACTATTTGAAATGTCTTGCCACTATAAATAAATAAAGGCTTAAGTGAACTTGTGTTTCTCTTAATCGATACGAAATTCTCTTCAACTTCATATTAATCATACGCCTGCGTGCTAAGAGAAGAAGAGTTTTCACAATTTAATTCAATGCTTTTCACCTTTCTTTCTTTCGTTTGAAGCGTAGGAAAAGATAAACTAAACTTATAAATATTTAGTTCACAGAATTTGACATTTAGTTTGTATCTTATAGTCGCTTGTATTGTTCCAAAAATTTCGAGCATGAATAAATGAAAGTTTAAATATAAATAGAAAGCTTTTAATTAAAAGAAATAAGAAAAAGACATAAAAAAATTGCCATCTTTTCAACTGATAAAGAACTTTCAAGATTTTTACAAAAATCATTTTTTTTTTTTTTTTTTTTTTTGTTCTTTTTTTTTTCTTTTTTTTTTAATAAAAGAAAATCTCATCTTCGGTAAAGGACAAACAACTTTTGAACAATATTAAAAGGATATAATCGACGTGTACTACCAACAGCTATAGAAAACAAAATTAATCTAAATATTTATTATTTTACTTTCACTATATTTACATTATCTATTTACATACTAATCCATATATATGTATATATGCGTTAGATATTTGTAATTCGGCATGTATATGTGACTGCATGGTTTATATATATATATATATGCATTTGTCGATTGTTGAAAGTGAAAGTAAAGGAAAATGAAATGATTTCGATGTGTATTTAATGGAAGAACAGTAATGGAGAGATATTATATGATGGGTACATATTTTATTTACGTATGTGTGTGCTTGCTTTAAATGTGTTTTCCTTTTAAACATTATACAAAATTCGTTCATTAACTCGTGACGACTTTTCGCGTTAACTTTTCTGCCTTTATTTGCATCGTCTTCAATCTGCTTTCGTTTAATGAAAACTCCAGCTTGGCGTACTCTATGTATGGCCTACTCTAGTTTATTACGGTATACAATATTCGATAGAAATGTGTAAAAATGTTTTCGGTAAATAAATTTATTTAAAGTCGAATTGAATTCATTTCACGAACCTCACAACGCCTTATTTCAACTTTGATAATATACTATACAGTAAGCCCGTGCAATGGTCGTTGGGTGATTAACGATAAACTCGCTTGAAATCGTATCAGTGCAAGTTACACTATATAGTTTGCTATGAATTTATGACGATCAGGTGGGATGCACAAAGCCAGTTACTACACTGCCTTCACTTACCCGATATCTTTTGGTGCTCGAAATTGTACGACCGGCCAAGATGATTGATATATGTTTTAGATAATTTTCATTTTTTTTTTTTTTTAAATTTCACACATTTTTGTTTTAATTTTTCTTCTTCACTAATTTGAAATTTTTTTATTCCCGTATCCACGTTTCACGTATTAAATAAATGAAAAACGTTCGTGGCGTTTTCCCAGTATATGACTTTAAACTTGCATACACTTGGTAGTAATAATCCTATTGCGCCACACTATAGCGCATGTGAGAGTTGACAGTCTATAGACAATGAAAAAAGGAAAAACATCACAACGTTTGTGAATGCAGCCAAAAATTAATTGCGTTGTATTTTACAATGTAATTTCGACCAAAGCAATAGTGGTGCTCGCAGATCGTAGTGCTAATGGTGAACATGCTTTATCGAAATCAGCATAACACAAATAAGTTAGTTCGCTCGATTTCGTTCTTGAAATTTCGATGTTAAAAACGCGTCACATTCTGTTAGTCGTTGAAAAATACCTTAAAGGGGCTGACAAAGACTGGCACATTTCATCTCAACAATTTCAAACGATTAGCGTAAATGTGGATGTAAAAGGAGACGGGGTCTTTAAGTATCACATGAATTAGCAAAAAAAAATTTTTCCATTTGCGGATCGTTGCTGAAACTAAACCTAATCGAGTTGCTTTTGAAGAGATTGGTAACCAGCAATGAAAAGTTGTTCACGCGGTACGATAATAACGTGTGAAAAAGAACATTGTCCACGACAAAACCCGTTATCATTGACGATGCAAAAGTTAAAATATCGTGTTTACCGATCTTGGATGGGAAATATCCATCATGAGCTGTTTCGAGCGGGATATGCGGCTAATTCAGCTCCGTTCTTTATAATTAGGATTATATGGTTCACACATTCCCGCGTCCGACTTCCATTTATTACGCCTTCTAACGCTTAAAGCCGACTTCAAAACAGCTCTATGAAAATTAGTTTGTCCGGTAATGGCGTAACGGTTCGTCGATGTGACAGATAGAAAAGATCCGCCTATGTGACAGATAGAAAAGAAATGACGAAATAATATCAACCAACAACAAATATACGAGCGCGGCCTAAATTTTTTCGGTTGAGTAATGTTGTGTCATCTCGCTACTGTGGACTAATCGTGCATTGAAGTTTACTTTTCGTAGAAACGTTTACATTGAAGGGACTTTCAAATATTTGACAATAATTTCGTATGGCAAAGTATTTGATTTGATCAATTCTTCTTCGGAAACATTAAAAGTTGAAAATATCTTTCATATAATAATAACCTTTTCAAACTAGTGATCGATCTTAGAAGCAATTCGATTGAACATTATTTTAATTAGGTAAATAGTACTTGGACGAATATGTAGTACATTAGTGTACCAAATTTCTTCAAATTATCGCAAAAATCGCGACCGGTATGTTGAATATAAGAACATAGAAGATGGACAGATGGATCGACAAGTTTAGGTCGACATAGAAAGTAATGCTGAATTGACTGGATTTATGTTATGGTCTTTCAAGGTGTTGCTTATATCTGTACAAATTTAATATACTCGTGTAACACAAGCGGCGTAAGGTTTGAGTGAAGAAAGAGAGAGAAGCAGTTGGAGAAAGAAACGAAAAAACTAATATTTATAACCTTGCGATTGTATGTGATGCCTTATAAACGGAAGTTATGTACATAATTTCCGTTATGCATAGTTATAGAAATATGAACACATACATGTGCGCCTTGTATTGTGTTTCTTTCTCTCTTGCTCTCTTATCAGACCTAAACTAAAAATCAACTTTCGGCTCGCATTTTTACACTCGTCACGATAAATATTAGATTCAATATATTAGTTTCGTCATGTCGTTTGTAACAATTGGAAATGTAATTCCGAAGCGCATCGACGAATAGATCAAGAAAAAGTTCGTGATAGACTATTAAAGCTTTGGCTTTACCCTACGTATAGGGAGAACCTCGTCCCGTCATTACAGAAAAAAAAAAAAAAAAAAATATGTTCGACTATTGATGATGAAAATGTAACGAGCTTTTTACTTAACGCAGCATAAGTACTTTAGGTCTTCAACTCGTCTGAAAGGCTTCTCCTATGGGGACCATAGCTTTTAGCTTCTGCCCTGGAAGTAAAAGTCCTTTCTATGAATGTTCCGAATGGACAAGGAAACATTTTCACATCGGAACTTGCCATGTTTTTTCTTTGCCATATTTACACTGCGCGGGCACGCTTGAATGTGTAGCGAATTGTAAAATTCATCGAAGTTCCTTTAAATGTGTGAAATGCCACATACAGTCTCTGCTTAGAAATGCATGAAAGAACAGCTTTAAGCTTATTTATTTTTTTCATTTTATTAAATCCTACCTACCTTTCTTTCTTTCGAATACAAATTTTATTATTAAATTTTTTCAATGTGTATACAACACCAGATGAATTAGGAAAATGTAAAGTTGATAAGTGGAATGGATAGCGTTGATGTTCGCAATTGTTCAAGAATAGTAAACAAATTCGTAATTATGAGTAGTGTCTGGGAGTAATCGGTCACTCATAGTGAACTTTATCGATTAGAGCTCATTACGGGCGAAGTAGACTGTCGTAAATATCATCTGTTGGAGCAGGAACGTTTATTTCTTTTTCAAGTTCATCTAACTTCTGAGTTATGTTTCAGCTTTAAGCTTCTCTCCTCCGGTTAGAGTAACCTAACTAAAATTAAAACCAACTTAATGACAAACTTAAGTTAAAACTTAAAAGTTATCAAAAGCTATTTTATGCTCAAGCGAAAGGCCAGCAATTTAATTATTTCTGTTTCTAATTGGAGTGATAATCCCATATAAACATTAAATTTTCTGACTCTCACCTATAAAGACGGAAGATTTTAATCGCATATATATATAGATGCCTACGGTACGAAAACGGAAACAAATGTTTTGTTCAATGTATTGCCCATCATTAGCTATGCATTTTTTTCACCCTTTCTGATAATTGGGAGATGCCACGTAAAACAAAAAAAAAAAAAACCGTTGCTCTAATGAAGTGAATCAATTATTGACTGATTGCTACATTTGCTTAAGAAGGGAAGCGCTACTCTGCTGAGTGTGCGTGTTATCAATGCGAACAAGCGGTAACCGGAAGGACTCGGACTAGCACTTTCCAATTGCGTTCTCTACCATTTTGTTATGAATCAGTTTTTAGATGGATAGATGTCATCTAAAAAAATCACCCTATGTTACCTTTTTTGATATCTTGCTCGTTTTTTTGAACAGTGAACTGTTCAAATTGATTAATTGTTGTTGGCAGCATTTTGTATTAATCGTATGAACAAAATTTGCCTGCTCAAAAAATATACTCCACACGTCTAGTGGGATTTATTTGAATTTCTTTCGTCTCGTTGAAACAAAGACAAAGCACCTGCGGCACGTCGATGTCAAGCTCCTAGGATAACAACTTAAAACATTATAGTCGGACACGTCTGATTATTGAATATCGTATAACACTTCATTTCATCAAAATGTAAGAAACGTTCGGACTTTGTTGCAATATACAAGTTCACTTTTCCTCACAATCATTATATGAGAAAATTCGCTACAAATAGCCCTACGCTGTATGAGTTTAACACAATCCCACTTATACGTGACTTTTCTGCTCTGCAGCAATGTGCGTGTGTGTGTGTGTGTGTGGAAAAGATTGATAAACTGATCCCACCATATTCCGGCTGGGTTCGAATCTCAAGTGCGGTAGAGTTAAAAGCCGATAGCCTTAGATGCTAGTGCTTTTAAGAGTTTAGTCTTAAAATTTATTTCTCTGGCGAAATTAATAATAATAATAATAATAGAATATCAAAATGATGTCTTGCATCTTAAAACTGTGTCCTTTCGCTCTATAACGACTCCTGCATAGACTTGGATTTGTATGTCGTGTGTGTGATGCCATTCATTTTTAATAAGAACCACCCACTCTTTGGGTTAAAACATCAAATTCATATAAATTCAATATAAACGATTTGTATACGAATAGGCGAGCATCAGGCGAACAGATCCGATCAAACTTTGTATTTGCCCTAAACGTAGCACAAATGTGTGTAAGATAAACAATTCAGTTATACGCATCCGTTACGTGAGGAATTTTGTCAAACGATCAACTTTGGAATTGTAAGCACAATTGATAAAAGCGAAACAATAAAATAAAATAATTTCTATAATGCTAGAGATTACGTTCTGTATTCAATGGAAGATAGCTCTCTTTTACCCACCACCGAAGGATGGGGTGTTGTCTTTTCCATTCCATAATGTATGTAACAGCCAAAAGGAAGCCTTCAGAGAAAGTATATATATATATATATGTCCTTGATCAGCGTGAAATTCTAAATTAATTTAGCAATGTCTGTCCGTCTGTGCATCTGTGTGGTGCTTATTTTTGGCACTCGCCTGGTAACTATGAAAGTTACAAGGCTGCATATTTCCACATTTACTTGACGAAACACTCTACTCTTCACATGGAGTAATGGAGAAAACCGGCCATGTCCACACAAACTTACAACTTAATAAAATAATTGTCTTACTACGTATTGGTTATTTGGGTTGAATTTTTCTTTTTTTTTTCAACTTTTCCTTTACACTTGTAAGAAGAGACCTGTGCACGAGTGTGAATAGTACAGTTTGCAGAGACGGCACACAAGTTAATTTAATAAGAATGTTTTTCATTCCGAATTTCAAGAAATTTGAACTTCCATTTTCAAGCTGGGAGCGTTGGGGTTGTGCTTAGTACTAAGCACTAAAGTAAGTTTTCACTTCTTCTGCAAGATATCGGAAAGGGATCGGATTCTTGGATGAGTGCTTCCTCGGTTGAGGGAGGAAAGTTAAGGCTTGCCAATGCCAATAATAATATATTGAATAACATCTTTTTTCTTATAATTATTCGAATGCTGTGTCAATTCAAGTATGTAATGATTACATATAAGCTTCTTATTGCATTATATTCAGTAACTACATGACATAGTAAAGTGGAACACAATAAAAAGAGAGGCTCGTTTCACGTTAAAGCGATTCCACAATATCTTTCACCTAAAGTCAATACAATAGTGAATGACAAGTGCTTGTGCATGCACATCAAAGAGTTTTATTCTCTGGAATGTGATTGATAAAAAAAAACTTTTGAAAAATAGCTCATCTTTTTTGTTAAAGTTACAACAAGAACAAGTTGCATAAACTTTTTCAATATTATTCTGTTGTACTCGATTTCCATTAAGGGCTAATATTAGGAAGACGCCATTAGTAATCTAAAACTTTGTGCTGCTTCGTTTCAAATCCATATTTTCTGGACAGCAATACATTATCCGATATGGCCATGCAATCGTTTAAAATCGAGTAGACATTATCGACTCTCATTTCTTTTATTGCTCATTAGACAAGAACTTGGCCATTCAACTTACGAATTTTTATTACCTTTTGAAATTTATACGGCTTATAAAACATAAGTTTCTAAATTATAGATTAGAAAGTAATGCTATGTATTATGGTAATGGCTAATGACTGGCGGGGCTATAAACTGAAACACTTGCTCTTAGAATATTTATACTTTCTCTTATGTTCTTTTTTGACCTTCTTCTCCTTCTATGATACCCTGTAGCGTTTATATTATTTTCTACTTCAACTCTTGATTAGCCCAAATTATTAGCTGTTCGTATAGGACATGCAATGCAAATATTTTTTTTCTCTCTTTCACTGTTACGGATGCATAGAGTTAAGAAAGTTAAAAAATTCTGCATTGCTATGCAAGATTTGAGTATAATATTATTAAGGAGCACTCGGCACGTATAAGTAATATAATTAATGCCAAATCATGATTCATACGCTCGCGGTATCTAATATAAGAAATATAACAAGTAAACTAAATATATCCACACCTTGGGTTGATTGATACCTTTTTTATAGACCAGAGACATTTTATCCTTTGGTTTACGTGTACCACACACCACAGCGTAGAAGAGAGCGTAGATATTACGGCACTTGTAAAATAGGATGTGTAGTAGAGGAACAAAGATTTGTTAAAATATCACAATCACACTGAGTTAATTCTTATTGAAATAACTTGAATTTTTTTTTTGTATTTTACATCACTCACGGTACAGTCTACATTCACTTTGCCCGGTATAGGAAATTTAAAATTATCTTATGTATAATACTTTTGTGCTCAATGTACAATTCACAATTTTTCACATATTTTGATAATATTGCGCATTATTAGAAAGTATTTGTCGAATAATAATCTTCTGGTATAACAAACAAACTTGAACACTTTAGTTAAAGTGAGAGAAACGGTTGTGAACGGCTTGTCATGTAAAACTTTTTACAAAAAATCGGCTTTCATATGATTAAATAGGCATATTTTTGACACTCCTCCGCGCCTGCACTTCTCATGCCCCGCAAACCTTTTGTATGATGGTACGCTATAGTTTTTTAACTTATATAAAAGACATAAGTGAATAAGTTGAGTATTTAATACAGGACGTTGCTGGCTATAATGTTTTGACTTTTTGCTTGCTGCGGTAGCATTTATGAGCTAACGCCCTCGCTTATTATACTCTACACTACTTGTGATACTTTGCGAGTGTATACAAAATCTGGAAAGACTTGAGAGGCACGCATCTGCTATCATACTGATAGACATAGAACTATTACTTTCTACTGCTTTCTACTTATTACTATTCCAAGCCTGCCTGCCAAGTCTGTCTGTATGGTAAAGCGTTCCGATTTGATCAATAGGAAAGTTGTCATCTTTTATGACATGGCAAAAATTTAGAAAAGCTCTCAAATTCAAAGCCTCAGAGCTTTCCTAATGTTGCAAATGGTTAAATGAAGAGTGATTTTAAAAAAGGTTTCATGAAAATCATTCGGTTTAATATTTTACCTAGAAATCCTAGAAGTTATACCGACTAAGAATAATAGGTTTGCAAAAAAATAACAAAAGATTATCAATAAAAATGGCAACAATCCTTTCTAATAACGTTCCTTTAAAACATGAAAAGAGGCGTTTGAAATTTTCGGAAAGGACCCATCGCCTCCCCCCCCTGACTTGATCAAATATATAGTGCTTGTCTGTTTTGCGACGGCCGATTTTCAATAGAAAAACAACAGACAATCATAGAGACGAGCGAATTGACAAACTGACCAAATCAATGTAGGATTTTACACTGATCAATGATCGCTCCAAGTATTGCGCAATATTACATAGAAAAAGACAAGTCTGCTATCTATGATCGTGCGATGATCGCCCTAATATACTTTGTTTCATTTTCAATTTCATGCTAAGAATATTTTTTTGCATATTTGTAAAAGACTTAGACAGAGAGAGAGAGAGAGAGAGAGAGAGAGAGAGAGAGAGAGAGAAAGAATAAATCTGAATAACGCCAACAATATGAGAGAATTATTTTACCCTAAATGCGGATAAACAATTCTTGTGTATTGATCAATGAAATATTGAAATGTCGTTAGGAAACCAATACCGCACACTCTTCATGATGCAGTCAGACTTTTTATGTCATGCTCGCCAAAGCACTCTGCTTGCTATTCAGGGAAGGATGTGTATCGCCTTCACGTGCAAACAGTTTTGTGAACAGAGAAATTCATTACTAAAAATTTAATAAATATTGCGAAATGCACATGATACACGTACGTACAACATACAAGAATATATATATTATATATTTATAGGTATATATGTATACATAAATGCGACCACACAATTATTTTATTTATACTCACTTTTTTTCTTTTAATGAAATTTACCACAAGATAAGATTCCCTGAATGCATGGAGATGTTTTATTATACACGATTCTTGTAAAGCAAATGACAACGAAAGCAACAAAACGTTATTGGTAAACTGCAGCAATTATAATTCAACCACACCAGAACGAATTGTAAAAGTGTATAGTTGAGTATTGCCATAGGCATCTATAACAACTACAACAGGATGCATTTGGTTATTGTTGCTGCTGCTGATGATGATGGTAGCATGACAGTAAAATTTAGATTATAAGGATAAAAAAAAAATTGTGAATATATGCCGTAAATGTGTGTGTTTAAATAGTGAACAGTGAAAAACAATATGTAATTTGTTTTACAAATTATTTAAAAAAAAAAAAAAAAAAAAAAAAAAATGCTTAAGATGCATTTATATATAATATATATATACATATATATACAAGGGCATGAAAATGACATTGACAAGCTATGTATACATAAGTGTATTATTACTTAAAATATAGATGTAATGAAAGTGTATAAATCTTCATAGAGAAAAACGAAGTGACAATAGCTATATGTAAATACATATAAGGACGACACTATTATAGAGCTACGCATAGTATATAAACAGCAGCAAGCAATGCGCAATATGGTAGAAGATGCCATATGTATATTACAAGGCAGAAAAGCCAACTTCAATAAACAAATTAAAGTTTCATATAAATACTTGTAAGCACGAACGAAGGCATTCATATCAAACTCAATTAATTAAAAGTAAATACGTAATAACACAATGATTTAATCAAAATATATTATTAAAAAAAAAAAAAAAAAAAAAAAAAAAAAAAAAAAAAAAATTAAATTATATTAAATAAATAAATAAATAAAAATAAAAAAAATCGCTTTTTCGACAATTATGAAAATCGAAACTGCTTTATATTAAGCTCAGCTCATTCCTCCTCCCATTGAAAATATGCTTAAATGTTATCTTTTTGATTACCGTGTAACCTCAGCATGTTGTTATTTTATTTACTGCCGCCACTATCTACATTATAAAAATTCATTTAATGCTTCAACGTCTTGCGTTGTCAGTCAAAGAGGATAACAAGGCAACACAAGATAAATAAATACGACGAGCAAACAATCACATTAACTTTGCATAGATATTGCAAGCCTCACTATCTTAAATAACTTGGAGAACTTGCTTAGCTTCAGTATGGGTAGTTTACCTAATCTCCATGAATTAGAGCAAATGGAGCGCCGACGTGACAAACGTCGTGAACGTGAAATGCGTGAACAATTAGCACGAGAAACGAGTCGCGAACGTGAACGTTTCTCTCAGAAGAAGGTAAGCGAAATTTTTTCTTTTCATCTATTTTTCATAAGAGAAAAACGAACATATTGAAAAACTAAACGGAAGTAGTCTTGATTACTAGCAATGTCAAGCTTAAACGAAATATGTTCATTTAGTTTCTTTTAGAAGTTTAGGCCCGGCCCGTGAAGAGCTTTGGATGATATGTAGAATGGATTGCATCGACGTAAGCCAGTTATACTTTTAGAAGCACATATTAAACGTTCTTTTCCAAAACTTTAATTTTCAACACATCGGATAAAGTGTCGCTAGTCCACGATTGGGCTATTTTTGCGACCACTCCCTATGCAACACCACCACATTTTACTATTATGATTATAATTTGTTTGGACAAAAGAAATAAATTCTAGGAGTAAAGTATAATACGAACGCTTGTCTGTCTGTCCATCTCTTATCCGTATATCCGTAGCTACAGGTCGCAATTATTGAGATATCTCGACGAAATTTCCGACTTGTTTGGCCTACGCTGTGAAAAATTTTGCAGAATCCGACAACTTTTTCAATCACTTCCCATATAACGGCTTATTTTTAAAAGCCGTTAATGCAATAAAAACAACTCCAGTGTGGGATGGGATATTTAATTGCGAGCTATGGCCCGCTATAAAGCTATTACTTAATGTATTTTTTTTTGCTTCTGAAATATTTCTTTGGAAATATTCTTTTCTACCGAAATGTTTCTTTTCATATTTAAAAACTGCGGCTTTGTATACTTTTCCTTGAATATATATATATACATTTTAGCTTAAGTGAACGGTAAGGCAAAGCAAAATGAAACAATTTGCAAAAAAATCTTTCAATTTAATAGAATCTTCAATATCTCTCATGGTTTACCGTAACATACTGTTAAACAAGAAAAGTTTCACATATGAGTAAACTATTAATTAATATATATATATAAAATAATTTAATTAAATTGATATTTTCTTAGGTCAGTTTATATGAATTTTTTTCCAATTTTTATACAATAATTGTCTATTTATTTATTTGCCCTAATCGGAGGACTATCCATGAAACAGAAGTATTGAAAAAAAAAAAAAAGCCAAGAAAAATTCTTGATTCAGTTAATAGCATTTGACCATTTTTTGAAAACTTCAATGCAATATATTTCAAGTATTAGAGTGCGTTTGCATCGTCCATTTGCAAACTTTTATACGTAATTGCAGATATAGCTTGCATTGCATTGCTATGCAAAATGCAATGACATACAAAAAAAAAAAAAAAAAAAAAAATTGATTTTAATGGCGCACAATTTCGATGCATACTTTGTATTCAACGCTTAAGACTTTTGACCAATCGTCGCCTTTCACAATAATGTATGTAATGATTAAGACCTACTTACAATGATTAATTTGTAACGATTGATGTCCATTCGTAAGAAGATTGCTTCCTCGAAACCAAATTCATATTCGTATGTGAGAGTTTTTTTTTGAAAAAAGAGAGAAGGATATAAAAACGGACAGAGTGAACTAAGATTAGATATAGGTAATATAGCAAATAATATAATAGCATAAGTGTGCAGAGATTTCGATTTCAAGCAACAGCAGGCAGCAGGCAGTTCTACTAACACATTTTTCCTACTAATCGCGGTTTCGTTCTCTCTCTTTCTCTGCCTCTTTAACAAAATAAAGAGAATTAATTTTTAATATTTTTTTTATACTCTCCTTGGTTGCTCACTTTCGGCCTACCATATTTTGAATTAAATATTTGTTGTTTCACACTTTTGGCCATTTCAGCAAACATATTTGACTGCCGTGGCAGTTAGTGGCAGTGGCAGTGGCAGTGGCAGTGGCGGTGGCGGTGGCGGTGGCGGCGGAAATGGCGTTGCAGCTTCAGCAACTAGTGGCTTAAGCGGTCTACCTACAGCAAATAGATATCATGGGCATACGGTGCACGCACCTCATCGCAATTCACTGACAAACAACAGACATCGTGTGATCCGTGCCCGGAGTTCAGGCGCTGCCCACAATTTATGGGATGAACAAATGTTGGAGGTATGTGCTGCTTGTATTATAAATAAGCATAAGCACTTGTGCTCACCAATAACTCGTTTACGCCATAATTCCAGAGAATAATAAATGAAGAGAGGATGTCTCCGAAATTGCATTAACTTTTTTACAAATATTAAACAGATTTACCTATGCGTAGAAATGTTTGCTTACTTGCAATCTAATCTTATATATACACACATATATTTTCAAAGTTGCTGTGAAACGAAGTTTTTCGCATTAAGAAGCGAGATTTAAACAAGAAGAAAAAAAAAAAAACAAAATCTTACAGTGTACTTGCTCATTAACGCTAATCCGTACACGTTGTGTCTTTCAAGGTCATTTGAACTTCAATCATATATTAGCTTTGATTATTACACTTTCAAAATTTACTTTTTCACTTTACTTCAAATTGATTGAAACTAAGAAAAAAGCATTTGTAAATGTACAGTTAGTCATGATGTCAAAACAAGCCCTACCACGCCGAGCCTCGCAGGCTGACGGTATTAGAGCAGTCCCGCACCTTGGACAGCAAACTGCGAATTTGACATAGGCCACAAGTATAGGATCTGCGCATACTGTTGCAGAACCTTAGTCGCATTAGCACATTTAATAGTTTCTTTACGCGCCATCAACTAAATCAAACTTTATACAAAACTACAATGCCTGCGTAATGCCTGTTGTAAGCATTCTCGTGGCCGCGAAAGTGAAGCTATTGTTTTTAAATTTCGTACACACGTTCAATATTCTTGCACGCTATTTGATGTTGAAAATGGCCTAAATTGGTTAAAGGACGCGCCCGTAGTGCAGTAACATTGCTACGCTTCCGGGTTTTCTCTTTTGCAGATTGCTTATAAGCGGCAATGAGCTTAGGATTTCAAAATTTTCAAAAATGAAAGTAATAAGCCAAGCGCGTCCAATGTTATAGGGTATGCGGATCTAGTGTTTTCCTCTTTCATTTCAGGCTTTGTTAGAATAAAAGTGTTGGATATAAAAGATTCGCGGCACCGTCGTATGTAAGTAATTTTCTTAATGCGGTTTTCTTTTTTTTCTTTTCTTTAATATGACTAATCACCTAGGGGCTATTCCCCATTCATGTAACAAGGTGACGATTACCAAAACCAGAAAATTATATGCGATTGTGACTGAATTTGCATTACAGTTAAAAAAAAAAAAAATTCGATAAAAATGAAATTTCGATACCCTTCAATAATATTCGATAATAGGCTATAGCCTTTTACTATGTGATAATTTATATTATTGTTATAAAGAAGAAATAAATGAACACAAAACGTAAGACATGTTAGCTCTGATCTGGTCTGAATAGTCAGTAATGGTCTCAACTTCCTTAGTACATTATATTCTTACCATTACTTATCTAGGTCTCCAGTTGTCAATGTTTGAGTAGCCAACACAAACTATTCACATCACTCCACCTACACGTATATACGTACATATGACCTTGAAAGTGTAAAAGCTAATTAAAGAGTTTAATGCTTCATATAAAATTCAAAAATCCGCCTGAGTAGCCGAAGGCGAGGAATCTCGACTAGCAAGTCAATGGTCGTGGGTTCGAATCTCAAGTGCGGTAGAGTTTTTAATAAAAAAAAAAGCCGATAGCCTTAGATGATAGTGCTTTTAAGAGTTTTTAGTCTTAGAATTTATTTCTCTGGCGAAATTAATAATAATAATAATAATAATAAAATTCGAAAATTACAAATATATTTATTATCTGGAAGGAAATTTTAAACTAAACTTTATAACTTTATATATTTTAGATTAGATATATGTAATTAAGTGCTTTACCAAATTTGTTTCTTATAGCATTTCTCTACTTGCTCGCCGATATCGACACGTTCGCATCGCATTAATCCGGTCACATCGTATCAAATTCAAGCAGCTTTAGCTGCCTCAAGGCGTCGAGAATCTATTAATAGTTCTATTGGGGCTACTTCAATACGACGACTGATAACTTTAAATAATCGCAACTGCCGTCACAAGGTACCCGCTCATGTTAGACAAAAGGTTTGCAAATGTTTCACGTTTCTAACTATCGCTCATGGTCTCATTTGTGCCATATTATTACCGATCTTTGGCCTACAAGGCTCGAATTCGATATGGCATCATCGTGAGCAATGGCTACAAGTGGGACCAAATATTGGTTCGCTTCTCCTAAGCGTTTGTATGCTTTTATCTGCCGGCATTTGTTTAATAACACCAAAATTGATACGAAAATTCGGTTATACTGTCTTAATAGGAGTAAATTATGCAACTATTTGTGCGTTCCTGATGTGTCATTTATACCCTTCAATATATACCCTATTGCCGGCATATATCTGTTTAGGTTTAACGCATAGTCCGGCATGGGTAAGTAAAATTGCTGTGGTAGTGCATTACGGTAGTAAGCTGAGTTGCTCTCAGCACGAATGCACTTTAATGCCAGTATTGGCTGTGGATGCTTGGGAAGAGCATAAATTATTTTGTAGTCGTGATCAAAAAGTAAGACGTTTGGCTAGATGGTTTCAAATAGCAAAGGATTTAGGTATAATTTTTGGCGCTGTAATATCATCGATGATTCTGTCCTGCACTTCTAACGATTGGAATTGCCTCGACACTAAACAAATTGAAAGCCTCATCTCAACAGGTTCCATTCAAAGTAATCGGTCAGCTAGTCGCGGAATTGCTGCCTGGCAGGGTTGGCCTTACAGTACATCAACAATAGTATGGAATCAGCAGCCTGGTTACTCAAATGAATATTATATTTTGAATGAGCACGGTACACGCATTTGTGGAGCCGATCAATGTCCTATATGGCATTTTGATATAAATCAAACTTTATACACGCCATTCATTAAGGAGTCGGCACGAGCCGGCGGTTCAATTCTTATCATTATTTATTTGATATTGGCCGCGATATCATTACTGTTAACCATTTTAATGGGAAAAATTCAAGCAACTTTTCGCCACGAAAGACTGAAAGGCATAACCGATAGTCTACTATTTGCCGGACCGCTGGCTTATTTCGTAGGCACCGAACAAGGATATATATTAAGCGACTTTTTACGGGTAATAGCAAACCGGCAATAATAGAAATTATTATCTTATAACTTTCACGCACTCTCCATTACAGGCTTTTGTCTCCTGCAGTTTGGGAATAAGCATGGTGTCGGGTGCTATTGTCGCCATGGGGATTATGCAAGCAATCGTATCATGTACTTTAAGTATGTTACTTAGGCATACCAAACGTATAGTAATAATATGTAAGTACGTAAAGATTTTCCGAAGAATACTTGAATCGATATGAATTGATATGAAATATGCCACCCACTAAAATCGATAAAGCGCTATTAGGCCCAGTGATGTTATATTCCATATTACCAATCCAATAATGAGCAATTTTTCAGTAACACTAGATTCGTAGAAAATGGGCAAGATGAGAGAAAGTGCAACGTATAGTATTGCGTCTGGATTTAAAGACCGGTTTATAAGTTTCTTTTAAATCTGTATATTATTGTAAGTTTATTTCGTCGCCTTCGAACTAATTTTCAAATTCATGTAACATTCTCAGTTAACAATTTGAAAGGAGATAGAAAATTAGGCTGTAAGCACCCGGTAGTAATTTATTTCACATATGACCTCTTTTTCGGAGAAAACTTCTTTCTGGTCAGAAATTTGTTTTGTATACACTCGAGAAGATTCAAAGCAGTGACTGGCTCAACACAAATTAAAAATATATTATCCGAAAAATTTACAGTTGCTTCCCTCTTTCAAAGATCGCAGCTGTTCCAAAGTAATACGACCCCCTACTGCGAATGACTGCGAATTAGATTAAATTGAGTCACTGAACCGTAGCGTTCAGAATTGATGAATCGGAAATCTTTTTCTTTCAGGCATCGTGGAAGATATTATGTCGTCTCTGAATACTATTTGTTTTGCTCTCTGCAGAACTTTCTTAATTGCATGAAAAATTAACTTCAAATTAGTCCTATGAAGATTATTTGTCTCTGTTTTTCGCCTAGAAATCTTAGAAGTTGTACAGCGACGGTTTTATTCCAAAAATAAGAAAAGCTTGTCGAAGCCCCATTTTTCCTTGATTTTTCACTTTTTACAGTTATCTCTTAAAGTTTGCCATCTACTTATGAAAATTCAACGAAAATTTAATTCAAAATATCGTTTAGTGTATTGTTCTTGGATATATGCGATCTTCACTTTTTTGCACGCAATTCAATCATGGATGTATAGGTAAATGTATGTATATATTTGTAAGCGATTGCAGATGTATTTTGTTTGAAGTGAAATTCTTTGACATTCTTTGATATGAAAATAGTCAATCTAAGTTGAATATCGTAGTATGATCATGATATTTTTCATTTTTAGAAATATGGAAATTTTTCTATTATCAAGCGGCCTTTTAATATTAATAAAATTTCTCACTACTTAGTGGCCGCTTTCTTTTTTCATTCGTGCTTACTGTTGGCTCTTTCCACCTGGAAGCCATCGAGCGATGATAGCGCACTTTTCTACGTTTTGGCTGCGTCTTGGGGTGCTTGCAATGGCATATGGGAAACTTTATTACTTGCCCTCGTCACATTGAATCATACAAATCATGTAGCTGAGGTCACGGCACCATTACAAAGTCTTCGCTTTTTGGGCTTAGCGGTCACATTTGCTGCACACGGTTTTATGTGTGAGACGCCAAAAATTATAACACTCGTTGTAATTTTAATGTTAAGCGTACCGCCATACGCTATGCTGGAAATACGCTTGGAAACTCAACGCAAAGCCCATATGATGAATTTATGACAAAGTGTTTTCAGTTAGTCACGATATCGTACGGCCATGACACGCACTCATACAATGTAAACGAATGTGTGCTTAAATGAGCATATTTTAATTTCGATGAACGAACGAAAGGTAAGCAAAAAAAAAAAGAATGCCGTGAAAATGAAACCAAAAAAAAAAAACAGAACTCTTCGTTTTGATGCAAACCATCAAGAAGGTATAATTCGGTGATATATTATAAATTTTTGTATAAAACCAAAATTTTAAAAATCTTTTCTTTTAAGACCGAAACCGAAAATGACAAACGGCTTATGAACGAACGGCCTATATACACGATTCAAAAAAAAAAAAAAAGAAGTAAAATCTCTCACTCAACTCGACGACAGTGCTTTCTAAATGTTAACTGCGTTTAAGGAAGACTAACATAGACCGTAGACGCATAGGACAATAATGAATTGTTTTAACGATTAATAAGTTAATGTTTGGATGAAACTGTTGAAGAGTTCTTTATTATATATTAACACTAACACATTTAATATAAAATGAAAAAATGTTAAAACGTTGAAGATCAAAAAATGCTTATAATTAAGATGAATTCAATTAATTTATTTCAATAAGTACATAATTATGTATGGAAACAAAGTAAAATTCGAAATAATTAAGAAAACTTGGATACCCATCTACTAACAATGAGTTAAAAAAATGTTCACTGAAGTCTTTGAATTACTAAAAAAATGTATTCAGATTCTATCTATATAAGTGTATCTCTCCTTCTGACCATGTATTTTTTGTTTTGTGGTCGCTATTTACAATGTAAGATATTTTGGTGAAAATGTATAATCTGAGATATTTATGTCGACAACAAATGCCATCGCAACCGCATTAGACCGCTTCATTCGTATAATCATACAGCTCAGTATTTTTCATAGGCGCTTGTGAATCGGTATTAAATATTTCACGGTCGAGCTTGTCAAAGTTAAATATTGATTATGTTGTAGTTCGATTTGCCGGCATATTTTTCAAAGAATTCATAGTTTCTTTAGGCATGTTCTCAGTCAACTTCAGATTCTGATTCAGCTTAGTCATCGTTTGTCCGTTCATCTACTATGAAAAAAAATCGACATTGAAAGCAGTAACTTGGAGCACGAACATGCTGTTGTCTTACTTCAAATTTTCTTGATCACGTTCTGCAATAGACGTGATTCATTTATCACTTAAAATCTATCGAAGTCTAGTACCAATTTCAAGGCTATCTAAAAATAATGAATAAAAATCTTTTCCAAGTCGAAAGTGAAGAAACACTACTCTCTAACGACGGTGGCTTCCGGCTGGTGGCTGATCAAATATTGAAAAAAAAAAAAAAACGTTTCAACATTTCTTCTGCCGCTTCATACTTTCTTTATTCATAATCAGTTTGAAATTTCGACCTGGCTTATAATCACTCATCTGTCGGTTCTGGGCATTCACAGAAAACACTTCTTCTGCCACTACATACTTTCTTTATTCATAATCAGTTTGAAATTTCGACCTGGCTTATAATCACTCATCTGTCGGTTCTGGGCATTCACAGAAAACACTTTTCCTGCCGCTTCATACTTTCTTTATTCATAATCAGTTTGAAAATTCGACCTGGCTTATAATCACTCATCTGTCGGTTCTGGGCATTCACAGAAAACACTTCTTCTGCCACTTCATACTTTCTTTATTCATAATCAGTTTGAAATTTCGACCTGGCTCATAATCACACATCTGTCGGTTCTTGGCATTCACAGAAAACACTTCTCCTGCCGCTTCATACTTTCTTTATTCATAATCAGTTTGAAATTTCGACCTGGCTTATAATCACTCATCTGTCGGTTCTGGGCATTCACAGAAAACACTTCTTCTGCCACTTCATACTTTCTTTATTCATAATCAGTTTGAAATTTCGACCTGGCTCATAATCACATATCTGTCGGTTCTTGGCATTCACAGAAAACACTTCTCCTGCCGCTTCATACTTTCTTTATTCATAATCAGTTTGAAATTTCGACCTGGCTCATAATCTCACATCTGTCGGTTCTTGGCATTCACAGAAAACACTTCTTCTGCCACTTCATACTTTCTTTATTCATAATCAGTTTGAAATTTCGACCTGGCTCATAATCACATATCTGTCGGTTCTTGGCATTCACAGAAAACACTTCTCCTGCCGCTTCATACTTTCTTTGTTCATAATCAGTTTGAAATTTCGACCTGGCTCATAATCACACATCTGCCGGTTCTGGGCATTCACAGAAAACACTTCTTCTGCCACTACATACTTTCTTTATTCATAATCAGTTTGAAATTTCGACCTGGCTCATAATCACACATCTGTCGGTTCTTGGCATTCACAGAAAACACTTCTTCTGCCACTTCATACTTTCTTTATTCATAATCAGTTTGAAATTTCGACCTGGCTTATAATCACTCATCTGTCGGTTCTGGGCATTCACAGAAAACACTTCTTCTGCCACTTCATACTTTCTTTGTTCATAATCAGTTTGAAATTTCGACCTGGCTTATAATCACTCATCTGTCGGTTCTGGGCATTCACAGAAATGTCTATTGATAGTCGAATTTAATTGATCAAATATTGTCTGATACTAGCGGAGTTAATTAACATGTCGTCTGAATTAGGTAAATCTAAAAAGAGCGAGAGCCTTGAAGGAAAATCGAAATTTCAAGCTGTAAAAGTAGTTTCAATCAAGTGTCTTTACACACACACACACACATACACACACTAAATCGTCAAATTTCATACATGTTAATTAAATAGAAGATGATATCCCGACTTCTCAAACCGAATACATATGAATCAAATTTTTGCTTTAATTGCAAATCTGAATTAAATTTTTCACTTAACAAGAGTCAGAAAAACTTTCACGAAGCCCTTAAATACTCTATAATAACTTACATCTAATATAAGTTGAAATTAAGAGTTCAATAAAAATTAAAAATTTTAGGATTAAATTACACAAGACCGTTTCGGGGCGTGGGCAATAGACAAGATGGATGTAATCCAAACTTGGCAGAGTAAATATACATATCAAGTCATTGTTCTGCGCCAAGTTTCATCATAAATTATTGAAAATTAAACTCAAAATACTATTTTTCACTAAACTTTATCGCGAAATATCAAAAATTGCGTATAAAAACTTTTAGAAAATAGGACGATCTTTCAAAAATCATGCGATTTTATCCATTTCGAATCAAAGCGACCGTAAGCGTTCTTACGCGGAAACGTCTTAGTGTACAAGATTTCATCAAAATATCTTGACACTTGCGAGGGAAACCTTACAAACTTGACATGCCCGTGCATTGTAAGTGATTTAGAGTTAAAAACAAAGTGAATGACATCTATGCGCCTGAAGGCCTGAAGCCTGAGTATCTACCAGGAAATTAGACACGATATGAGCTAAGGATAATACGAAAGCAATACTAGTGAAAGACGAAGTAAAGTAAAAATTTGATAAGAATATTATGTTTCATTTTGAACGAGTCTTTGATACCATCGATCAACTTGATGCATAAAAATTTTAAACTAACAATTTTATTAATTCTATGTACGCCACTCAGCCAATCGATAACCTTTTCAAGATCATGATTTAGGCAACACTACGAAATAGAAATTGATAGTTATATATCTATCCAAGTAAATACTTTTGATTATCGCACCGATCTTTTTCCAACTCTTATCAAACTCCGACATATGCGTAGGCTTAGTTGCTTGTGAAGTGAATTCATTTTTAGGCATCAATCAAGAACATAGACGTCAAGTTTCTAAATTCTATATCGTATGGCATTCTAACAGTAGGCAGTAGGTAGACAAAAGAAAGGAATAGACTGGACGATGTAATTAAATCCACTTTAAATATTACGCTCACGCTTTGAAGTCGACTTCGGACCCAAGAACAAATCTAGTGCGCTCTCTACTTACAATACAAAAATCCATATGATGCAATCATACACGATAAGTAAATCTGACCTGCATGTGCAAGGCTAAGGACTAAGGAAGACGCTTCGAATAACATCATTTTAACCATATCAATAATAATAATAAAAAAAAAAAATAAATAAATAATCATTATAAATGCTTTAACATCATCGACAAATTGAAAAAAAATAAACATTAAAATTCTGACTAAGAACGAGGAGACGCGTACGATCAAATATGAGTATGAGTGGGCCCATCAATCGTATTATTGTCTTTAAAAAATTCAAGCACGTCGTCTTAACGGGATAAATAAACCTATTTGGAATTAATTAAATACAGTACTCGTGCCTAAACATAAACAATGATAAATATCAGAAAAAAAACATCCAAGTAAGGCCTGTCGCAGAAGTTTCCCAAAAAACGGGCCGCGCGCATTCCTGTGCATAATTTTCTTCTTTTTTATTATTACTTGAAACACGTGCATTGAACTTCTCATAAAAAGTATCAATTTTTACCGGCTCGAAGACTAGTACGAAAGTAGTATGATTGGATGGACGGACAAAGGTATATGTGGTCAAAACATAACATCCCTTACGTTTGATTTAGTAGGCATCTGATGCTTATTTTCGGATATGAACTAAAACATTCATCATATTCATCTTAGACCCAATTGAATTGATACCCATAACCTCAAATCAATTCATAAATATCGGGAGATATTTGCAAGTCATGCAAGTTGCCATGAAGCATAGTAGGCGCGTTAAAGAGAAGAGAAGAAAACATATATTCACAGCAAGTTTCAGTATTCTGTCTCAATTTGTATGACTATAATGGAGAACAAACTGATGATGTCGAGCGCTGATAGACGAAGAGAGCTAATATTCTTATTTTATGGTTTTCGGTATTCTCAATGTAATAAAGAGAAAGATTTCGTTCGCCTGAAGTCAAATTTTTTTTTTAAATTCCCGCGATATGTATGATAGTTAAACACAATTATGTATACAAACGTATAAACATATCTAAACCGATTTAATAATGTTACCCTCATCATGACAATACTGGGGGATCTCTATAACGGACTCTCTCAATAATACAAAAAGTATGTAAAATATATAAATATGGCTATGGTTATCGGATGGTGGGTTTAATAAAATAATTAACAAATTAATTAAAACGTCTTATTAGCACGATTTAAAACTTATATAGAAATTAAAAGG